TTAACAGACAACACTTTGAACAGTGCTTGAAATCAAATTTAGTTTTAAAATAACGAATTTCTAATTACAGACCTTATTTGGTATAATACATTTTCACGACAGAATTTGATAGTTTATTCGAATTCAGGAAGAAATATTAAAAATCTTATTTACCAAAATGTGTAACAAAAATATATTACAATAATATATATATTTCAAAAACAATATAAAACTACCTGGAAATGCGAAGAATGTCTCGCACTTTAATGCATTCTACATTCCTTCGAAGTTTATTGTTCCGTACAAGATTATCCTGTTTTATAATTGAAAAAAAATAATGTAATTTATTCCGTTTTTGCACCGTGGAAGAGAATGAATCCACAGAAACAATAAAACGCCTTTGTTTGCATACTTGGAAGAATAGAAGTATAGTCGCTGATGAGTTTTTTGTTTCTGTGACTCAACTGTCTCACTAATTGTTTCATGAACTAGAACTAATTAAACACAACATGTGTCTTCGATCGTTTCGTTTCATGTCACTCCCTCGTGTGCATAAATTCAAGTCCACATTTTTTGATTTTATCATCAGAGTATTCAATTTTCCAAAATTTTATGTCGTACGATGAACACATTAGTCTTCGAACCCTATTATAACGTAACATCCGGTATTTTTTATACAATTATTAACCAAATGTGTGACTGAAACATCGGTTCTTCAATTTTTTGATTACACAATAAAACTGGGCAATTGAAATATATTCTCTGTAATTGTTTGAACTAAAAAATAAAGTATTTAAGTGTTTTATGTTACTACTGTTGATTTAACGGTATTTTGAACTCCTTATCGATGTATCGAATTATCAGTAACGTTCCTACATTATCGATATATATCGATATCTGTGTTAATGGTCGTACTTCTTCTCACAACATTAAGCAAGTGTTTTGTTTCTTTTCCACCTGTACATTTGTACCAGAATGCAGATTAAACGATCGAAAATGACTAGGTTGAGAGAATATTTTACGTTTTTTGGTTCACTCGGTAAACATTTATTGCCAATAATTCTAACATATAGGCATCTCGGACGTTTTTTTGCGATCATTTTAATTCGTATTGAATTATGATCGGAGGTTACGTACTTTATGGCTCTAAATACAACGCAGCATTGGACTTATGAATGTTAATTGTGAATATTAAGGACCCATTAGTGGTAATTTTTACACTTGCCGGTTGCACTTCCACTTATTGCCATTGTCATTAACCTTCTTCATGGCATTTGCCAACAATCTGACTTCGTTATGGTTATGCAATGTCATACATCTTTGCGCGTTCCCTCGCTTCCTGTTCTCCAAGAACTTCCATTATTATGCGAGTTCATAGCCCAGTGATTCCCAAACTTTTTCTTGTTTACGTCACTCTACCTGACTTGGAAGCTTTTTTTTTAGGTTTAAAGTAATACCCAATAGTTGCAATAGTTAAGTGACTGTGTCTAAAGTACTCGATAAACTATTATTAGAACTGTTTTTATAGAAAGTGTTCGATAACTCCTTTTTTACCTTAACGGAAGATTAAAAGTCAATGTTATGTCAATATATTGAGTAGGTAATTAGTATCCATTATTGAAAGAAATTCCAGACGCCTAGCCAGACAGTTCTTGAACGATTTTCTAACGGGTGGATAGATTACCTGGCCTGCTCGTTTTCGAGTATAAATCCTCTAAATTTTCTTTTCTTTTTTTAAATGTAATCTATGAGAGAAGGCATAGAATTGACGAATTTAATGAAATATATCTGGGGCGCTTGAAACAACTAAAAAACTCTATATCATGATGTCTGCAGACTAGTCTTTGCACCGAAGGTGGCCATTTCGAGGACTTCCTGCGAAGGCAAGCAACTGCGCATTACCATTGACTTTTTTTCATCGTTTTCGTGTTTTTCATACACCATTGAACCAAACTTCATACAACACGACCTTGTTTACAGGGTGCCTTTTTTAAATGAAATTTTTACCAATGATATTGGTCCAAGAAATAGTAACTCATTAAATACGGAAATGTGATCCAAGTTATATCGTGTTCCCCAGAAGAAGCAAAACGTAATAAGCGTGATTGTAATAAGCAAGTATTCATTATGTTCGTTTTGACGAGTGTTTTTACGATTGCCATGCACATAGATCGATTGTCATTCGGTATTATGAATATTGATATTACAGTAGTAGAACAAATTAATTAAAAAAAGGGGGAAAATATGGTTTGAACCCATAACCTCGCATATAATGAACTCTACCATCGGCGCTACGGTCAATTGGTTGGAAGAAGGTGATAAACATTAATATTCATAGTGCAAGGTACGTAACTTTAATTACTCTCCACAATTATCGAGTTATGGCATCTAACATTTTCCACGTGGTTTAGCAATTGGGGCATGTAATCTATCATCCTTCAAAAGTAGATTAGAACCTTAGACAAAAGATTTAGACCTCAGACCTTAGATTTTCCTTTTTGTTTTTTAATTTTTTTAAAGAATTTGAAGGATTTAATAAACCCCATTGAAAATCTGCGGAGCCAAATAAAAAATAAAAACTGTAGACAAAGAAACGAATTTTCATAATCATTGCTCTTGTGAACCTCCTGCAGCGTTTCTAGACCAATATTTGTTATTATAATTCTTATTTTGCAAACGTTCCGTACTATATCTAACCTACACGACGTTTTTACGCGACTTTTACGAAACATTGCTTTCTTTAACAGGCCTTATCATTACTACAGAGTAATTGATAAGTCCTTGTTTTTGCTATAATATGCAAAATTAATAATTTACATCAGATTCATTTCCTTGTAATATAACGTCTGTCCAAGTAGTAGACATCGAATGACCATCGGAAATAAAACGAGCTAAATTACGGAATCATTTGAAGAAACAAACGTCAGTTGACCAAGGGAAGATTCGGACGTTTTAATTTTAAAAAGATTACAAAGAAAATCGAATGTTTGTGTAGTCAAATTTAATTCAAATGTGAACGTTTTGGCTTTAGTTCGAGTCACATTCAGCCTGACAAAAAATAAGAAATAATATAAAAATTGTAGTGTAAAAATATAGTAAATATATATTCTATAATATACAATTCTTTGATTATAATTTTTCAAGTTTCGTGTTGCAAAAATGCAAAGTGAATTGTAAGTTGTCGTGCATAGCTTTATGAAAACGATGAGAATTCGTCCAGTCATGTCGATTCAACGATTTTCGATCGATCGATTTATGGTAAATTGATTTTTTTAAATAACCTTCACCGTCATTTGCAATATGAATCGCGATGAAAACGTTGCTCCTTTATCGATGCAAATTGACATCACTTTCACTCCTGTCGTTGCGATATTATGAAAACGTTACAACTTATAATTAAACGTTTCTTCAGATGAGGGTGGAAGTTTATCACGATCAGACAATTTTGTATCAATTTTAAAAATCGGAAAAACGCATAATTTCTTATCACTTTTATTTGCATGTTACATTACGGCAAACTGATGACAAATCAACATTGTAAATTGATTTGCTACATTGCTTAGCATAGTAGTTCGATTATGCGGTTGAACGACATGTGCAATGTCATGTATTTTTTCCAATAAAGAAGAAACTAGCTTTTCACTTTAATATGTCAAAAAGTTTTATTCTGAATGAATTTTTTGTTTTAAATAGTGTCAAAAAGAATTGTTAAATATTGTCAAAATGGTGGTGCATATTTGGAAGCGCAGAATTCGATTTTCAGCATTTGGGAATTTTACCAGACTGTGGAACAAGCATTGTGGATGACATAATCTTGATTTGGAAGATAACGAAACAATTGATTTACATTCAGGCAAAAATGCAGTTCAATTTATCCGGTTATTTTTGAAATGTCAGCACCACTAATTTAAAAAATGTCGTCTTGAAAATGCAGGTTCCTTTTATTCAATAATAATGGAATTTTGTTGTTACTCTAATGAATCTAATTCGCTTGCTACACGGAAACAAATGTCTTTGACAATGTTTGAAAACAGCGGGAGTACTGACGGCTGAGAAAAAACTTAAACAACTTCTTCAGTTTTTATGGAATAATTCTACTAAATTTGTAGAATGACGTTCCATTATTTATCGTGTTAAAACGTTAAAAAAATTTGTATTTTCCAAGATAATTCTGAAATGTATTGTAAATGAACACGTGTCGATACCGAAAATTCTAATACTCGACCTCTTTTAATTCAAAACTTAACCTTTCGCACTGTTTCAGGAAGGACGTAAGAAAACAACGTAAGCAATATTGAAAATATTAAAAAATAAACTATTTACTTCAATAAATGAAGTTTGAAACAATCCTAGTATTTTTAAAAGAAAAGAGCAGATTAGATAAGTGTGATAAAAGATATAATTAGGTATTTTTAAGGAAACCTTTGAGTTAGTTAGCTTTGCAGAAAGTGTAATTCATGACAGATGACGTAGACTAGTGAAATCTCCTTTTGTTTTGAGAATATAAACCAGGAATATTATTTGCAAATATTTTTTGCAATGTCAACTATCAGCATCCTTCCCTTCAATTTTCCCCCCAACTTTTAAGAAAATAAAAAAATGATTTTCTATATCCTTTAGCCAAGAATACTCCTTTATATGACCTCGAAAATAGAGAAAATTGAAGTTCTTATAATATAGACAAAACCAAGGAAGTAATTTCTACTATCAATAGAAAAGTTGAGTTTAAAATCTGTAATGTTTCATTGAATTCAGAAATCAGAATTATTTTAATATTCGAAAAACAGGAGAAGTCTCCTGTCATTGAAAACTCGGAAATTAGAACTTGGAATCGAATAGAACGGTTGAACTTAAGATCTATAACGTTTCATCGAATTCTGAAATCAGAATTATTTGAATATTCGAAAAACAGGAGAAGTCGATCGAAAACCTGATTTTATCGAACCGAAAATTGTATATTTTGACACTGTAAGTTGAACCCCCGGTTTTCTAAGAGCAACGCGGTATTTTTCGTCACTCACCGTACAAAATTGAAATCCCAATGATAAATTGCTCGAGAAGCATCGATCGTTTGAGCCATCCGTCGTTGGCCGAAAATTAAGCGGCGCTCTTTGAACACGGTCCACGGAACTCGCGCGAACTTTTCGAAGCGGAAACTATCGTCACCGAGGATCTATCCAGAACTGCGAACGATCGATCGCGGAACCGAGGGCTCGCGTGCCAGCTCGAAGACACCGCGCGCAACAGAATGCAATTCGCGCGCGACACAAGCTCTCTCATAGTAGCGCGAGCGCTCGATGCGCCCCGCTTGATCGCCAATTCGCGCCAACTCGCCCTTCTAATGCCGGGTCCACACTGCTGTTCGCGAACACCGAACACCGAGCAACGAGCAACGAGCAACGAGCTTCTCAGCGAGCAGTTAACACGTTCATAGCCAAACAGACGAGCAACTTTTCCATCACGCTATTATACCTAACCGGTTTTTTTGTAAGAAGCCCTAACAAAAGGACTCAATCTGACTTTCTGGCCCCCTTGACACTTTGACTGCCACGTGACCCATGTATGGGTGATAGAACTTTTAACAGTTGAACTAAAGCAATTCCTAAGTTGGAATGTTAAAGAAAATAGATTTGAATAGGCTTCATAAATTTTAGTGAGGTCACGAAAGTAAGTGTAACTGTTTTTTTTTTAATGAGCTCTCACAAAAGGTCTCAATTTGACTGCCTGGCCCCTTTGACACTGTGACCGCCATGTATGGGTGACAGAACTTTTACCAGTGGGCCTAAAATAATTAATTCTCATGTTGGAATGTTAAAGAAAATAAATTTGAATAGGCACGAAAGTAAGTACTACGACAAGTTTCAAGTTACGTAGTTTACAATTGTCAAAAATAAAAGTTTTGGTCTCCTAAATAATTTTACGATTTTAGACTGGAAACAGACGAGCAACTTTCACAGTGATCCTATGTTTTTCCTTGTCTTTCAATATATCTTTTTCAATATATCTAAAGATTGTTATTTTTGTAAATTTTTCGCGCGCGTAAAATGATCCGTCTGAGATCCATCTAGAGCTGTCCTCTCGCGGTGGATCGACGTACGATAGATCAGAGCGAGGTCGATCGCCGTCGAACCGACAGACATTGCCTGTATCAATACGCCAACTGACATAATTGCGCGAATTTTTGTACTATTGCAAGCTAAGATATTGATAGACGATGACGATTTGCATGCAGTGCAGAAGTTTAATAGCTAAATTAAACGATCTAGACAAGTAGCTCTCAACCTTCTTTTTCGGTGAACTTTCCATGGGCTAGGGGGTTGAATGAAACTTTTAAAACTGAGAAACTAAGAAACTATGAAACTAACACTCTAACACACCAACAAACTTAGAAACTAAGAAATTAGGAAACTAAGAAACTAAGAAATTAAGAAACTAAGAAACTAAGAAACTAAGAAAAAAAGAAACTAACAAACTAACAAACTAACAAAATTAGTTTTGATACAATAGTAATTTTTTACTAACTTTTCTATTGAATGAGGTATATTCGCTGAAACTTATATTACGCTCATTTTTGCATAAGCAGAGAGCTTTTACTTGTTTTGGAAATGGAAAGAAGTTTTGATCGAATCGTAACAATTATTTTACTTTGAAAAATAATCAATCAAAAATACAATATAATGCAAGCAAAGAATGGAATAAAAACGTGACCTACCACAAAAAGAGCCTCGTAACTTTTAAATGAAATACCTTGAGGAGCAAAGATATATTTAGATTGAATTTGACTAATTTATACTATGTAGTTGAATCTCGTCTCTTGTTTTATTCACTTGATAATGGATAATATATGTTTCGGTTGTGGAATCCGAGGGTTAATCCTTCGTGTTCCTTTTGTAACTTTATCTCACGTCTTGCACGTGTTTACCACACTGGTTATCCATATTTAAATGGAAAATTCCTGGATTGTAAATCTCAAGGGTCCTCGATATTTCAACGCTTGTTGCGTCTCGAGGCGAAAATCTGTACTTTTTGCAACTCATCGGAATTCGTCGGTTGTAGGCGGGCCCATAAAGTGCCATATTGCGTCCATATATGGGCATAGTCGAAAGAATTTCTGCAACGAAATTTTCCACGACCCCCGCGATAAAACATTGATCAGGGCTCCATCGATCACTCACTTAAAGTCACAATAAACATGTTTCCAATCACAATCAAACCTCGTGTATCAATCATTGCTTCCACGCGACTCCACAACGTTAATTTGTTCGTCGAGATAGTGCATCTGTGAACTATTACGCGAATTCGCTACGAGAGAAACACCTCACGACGATCCTCGATCTTCGATCTTCAAATTCACACTGATTTTGAGAATTTCAAAAAGAAAATAGTGATTTGAAGCAGATATTGAAAATATACGTGTTGATCTGTCTGAGATTCCTAATCGTGTTTCTTTGTTTATTCATTCACGGACAATTCTTTTGGTAACACCACATCCTGGCCAAAATTTACTGCTGAGGAGACAATTGTTTTGGTTCACCAGTTCAGAAAATCCAGTTCACAGTTCACTGTTGAGGTCAAGGCTCATTCGAACGTGAATATTCCAACTCCGAGGAAAAGGCTACGAAGAAGCAGTGAAAAATATTCTCACATAACGCCCGTACTAACAAAAATTGATACACCATTTAGAGATCGACCAAACCTCCATATTCACACTGATTTTAAGAAAACAAACACATATATTACTAGTACCACGACGCAATACTGAAATTCAAGCATCTCCTAAAATGGGTTTCCGGCAGAAACAGCCTAATATTATTTTGTAGGAAATGGCGATATATTATTCCATTTAAAGAAGCAAACGTGACCTTCGTGAGCCTTCTATACATTTGCCTTCAGAAAACCTAATTACTATAAATTATTCCTTCCTACAGCATAGAATTTTTATTTTAAGATTTTGTTAGTCTAATCAAGCGTTTGAAAATATATTGATTAAATCATTAAACAATTTCAAGGTTCCTGAAATGTTTGTGCATGTTTGAATTATCTTTGTTGTTTTTGCACAACGAATGTTTGTTAATATAATCTTTGCTGGTTCCATTAATCAAGTGTCACGTTCAAAGGTGATTGAGAAGTTTTAGAATTTAAAATTCTTTAAAAATGTTCGATAAAACTTAATTGTCGTGTACCGGTGTTGATAATGGCGTTGATGCGCGGAACCAACGACGGAAATGAATTGAAAGTAACACCAAGGTCACGTGGTATGTAAATAAGTGTTGGTGATATGCGATTGCGCGTGTAAGAAAGTTTAGCGTACTGCGTGACCTCGAATACCTCATGTCGTTTGGAACTATTAATTCTGGAACGGTGGAATGGGGTTATTAACGATCTCAGCAAAATTTTCTGTGTAATTGAATTAAAAGTCGTTTATTTTATGAGCTCTTACAATTACTTTTATTCACCGACACGACGTAATACTATTAATGTTGTCAAATGCACGAGACAATAGTCGTGCTTATCATATCCTATATTATTTCATTTTTCTAATTAATTATTTTCTAAATTTTGTTTCCAAACTATTTATATAATTCTACTTCGTATTACTTTCGATAATTATAAATAAACATACTTTCATTACTGTTATACCAACTTACTTGTCCGACCATACTGCATAATTATTATAAATACATGCTGAAGGGGGCTGAAATTTCAGGTGAAAAAATATGCGTAACTTGTGAATATTCTAAATATATCATATGTATGTCTTTTTTAATTGATCATTGTATTTTTATAGTATCAAGTGACTGATAACAAAGTTTACAATTTTCACGTTTAATTTTCCTCCAAGTAATCACGAAAGATCGAAGATTTACCCGTGTGTGAGGCTCGTCGAGAAAAAGATCCAATGTTTCTCTCGGTTTGTAACCGTTCACCGCGCCGCTTGCATTGATTTAGCAATAAAGATTTATTCGTATCCCGACAAGTTTGATAAATCACACGTAACTCACGTGGTCGGGGTGGCATGGCCAACAATAAACATAACGATAAATTGCAATCGCGTGACGTCGATATTACTTAACTCGGATGCACGCAATCGGCCAGACCCACTAAGGAGGCTCCGATACCACGTAGATGCATTTCAATGAAGTTTTCCTCTAATTCGTTTTAATTGCTAGTTAGAAAACAGAATATATGGACGCGTATGCGTAGTGAAAGGCTCAAGTCACATCGCATTATGAATATGAAACAATTCTTTGCTTTTAATCCATTTGTCATAACCCATACTTGGTGTACCATATGCACATACATGCAACTCTTCAGTTTATCACCGTAATTCGAGCTGCATCGAAGTTAGGCAAATATTTACGAATAATTAATATAAATTTTACTTCAGCTTCTTAGTATAGATCAACGCAAATTGTTTAGTTCCATCGTTGAAAACAACTTTTTCATTTAGTCTTCTTTATTCGTTTCTTTACTATGTTTCTAAATAAATTAATGTAATGATTAATATACTGTGAAATGTTACGTATGATTTTCTTCGTTGTACACTTAATTATGTATTTACTTACTTATTTATTAAAAATTAATGATTTATATGTGGTTTTCGTTGACAATAAAATTGTGCCAATAAAGAAGTATTTTCTCAATCGTGTCACACGCTTAATTCTTATTATTTATGGCAATTGAGCTCCGTAATCGAACAGTGTTTTAATCACGTATGTACATGTTGGACTATAGAGATTATTGGTTGCATTCATTATGTGTGTCAGGGCCTCTCAGAGGAATTTTATCAGAGGGTACAAAGTTTCCTTTGGGCCTTTTCCCTTCTCCATTAATCATTCTGTTTTTATTCACCACGGTTTTGTACTATAAATTGTGGCATTAAATGTGAATTCTGGTTTTTACACGTATGCTGTTAGAAACAACTGTTTGATCTCGTCCAAGTATAGTAAAGCGATTGTTCGTAGTTCTAATTGTTTATATCATTAAAATTATTGAGTATCTACGTCTAATATTGTACACATATCACTAGGAACATGTCACTATAGTTTTATAGAATCTAATTTATCTGATGATATCCTTAATAATGTATTGATACTTACAATTAATAAAAATGTAAATTAATAAGTTGGTAAATATATTGTCACTTTCCTCAATTATTGGGGAAAAGATATGTTTTAATTTACTAGCACATCTTTCCATAATAATATTTTATTCCTATCAACGCAATAAAATGTTGGTGTTTTTTTTTCAAACAGTATTGATAATTGTAGTTTCCATTTTTTGCGTACGTATCCACGCACATTTTAATAACACTGTTTCGTTTTTTACACTAGAGAAGTATGTGTACGTAGTCCGGAAAGAATGCAGCCACAGTGAATATTTCGCGAACCGGTAATGACACGTTGTAACTTGATAGTCAGAAGGGACCTTACCGTTCATGACTGCATAATCATTTTCCCGTGGCGTCATTAGATCGTCAGCGAGACATTATCATGCCACCGTCACTTTTACGATGATCGAGCAAGTAGACCAGCGAATCTGCATCAACCTCTGCTTAAAACTTGAACACTCACGTGGACAAAACTATTCGAATTATTAATAAGCCTTTCGTCAACGAGCTATCGAGCCAGAAAAATAGCCATTTGAGACTTTACCATTAACAATCTAGATCTCAATCTTTTTATGAGTCAATCTTAACTGTGTCACTTTTGTATCAGATTTCATCCTATGTTTTTAACTTGTATCGAAGAAGTTTCCCCATTTTTTTTTATATAAAATTTTTCAAAATTGTCGAAGATACAGTCCCTGTTGTTAAACATGCTTTCACGGTTGCCACGTGTTTATGTAAAATAAACAAACTAGAAGCCATTTTATTCAGTATGATCGTAACCAAAATTGCTAAAAAATATTGAAAAATAAAATCTTGGCAGTAGTTGAAACAGGTTTATCTCTTTCCTTCTTTTATCTTTTGCGTGTGAAAATAAAAAAATAGTAAAATACATGGGATATTGAACATTTTCGCGTCGTTTGCTTACGCATACGACTCGTCGACTACAGCTTTTTAATTCGTGCGTGCATTTTTCCCATAATTGTAACAGTAACGCGTAATTTCGTCTTTGCCCCTCTCTGTTCATTCTTTCATTGTATTTTGTACGATTGCTCATTCTTTGTTCTTCGTGTTCGATGCTAATCGTCGAAGATTTACTGCGCGATAGCTGAACCTGTTTCGGGATCGTTTGAAACCAGTTGCTGTTTTCTTTTTTAATCGAACCAAGGTCCCTGGGGAAAAGAGATCGAGCAGATTACACACCTTAACACAGAATATTTTAATTCGCGAGATCTAAATTCCTCGACTCGTCGATTTTTGTGAACACAAAGAATTGAATGACTGGCAATGAGTAACGAGCTTCATGGAACAGTAATTATACCAAACTGTTAATGAAATGAAGAGATATCGACTAGTTCAGCGTAAAAATTAGGTGAACACACCTATTTCGTTTTGGAGCAGAGTATTATGGGAACTTTGATAGAATGCTACTTGAGAATATTCTTAATTGCAATGCTTTAAGATATTTGCTGCTGTATTCTAAAATTCTAGTGTAAAAACGTAAAAACTGCTAGAAATAGATTCCTAAAATAAATTCCTCCACTCGAGAAGACTATTTCATCTTCCATTCTCTCTTTACAACTTGTATGACACCTGAATGATCTTCTAAAGCGAGGAATATAGTGAATGGTCAGTTCTCTAGGTAAACCGTGGTGTATTTTTTTTACGAAACTTGGATCTCTAAACACTATGTAAAAGTATTTTGTACTATAATATTTCAAAATATATCGCAGAATGATACTTTTACAGGCAGAATGGTTTACGAGTTCTTTCACTGTCGAATTTGACGAATGATTCATTTAAAAATTTTTTTGCCGAAGCTCTTTTGCCTGAAAATATTTTGTAATATTTGATATGATTGTGCTTAGAGAGAAATTGAAAATTAAGTCAAAAATCACCACGATTTTGGTTCCAAGATCGAAGAATCGAGATTTTTGTACCGTTTCTTCGCCGCCATTCTTCTAGAAGATTCGCATCTCATCTTCGCCATCCTGCAGTTACAATTTTCTCATACACGAATGCCCACCGGTTGCCATAAAATCTATTCCCTAATTGCATGCATTTATCTTGGACACAGAAGGTCGGGATGTCTTGTAAAAATTAATCATCGACTATTAGCGTCAATATTAATAAGATATCCATTCAATGTGTCTTTAAACCGTGATTACTAGATCGTCTAATAGCAGTCTAATCTGCTAATCAAAGACCATAAATTACATAAATGATTTCGAATTTGTATTGAGGTCTGTTTAGTATAGAACCTTATCTTCACTGGTCGGTGTATATTGCAATGATTCACCTTGATGGAGCGATTTCTATTAATTATGTTGTTTGTATAATTGTATGTATGGGGATAAGTTCATTTAAAAATGATTCATTTTTTGTCATCAAAAGTATTATGTTTTTCAGACTTAGTGGCTAAATATAAGTACCAGTATACTTAGTGTAATGTAAAATAATCGAAGGTAGTAGAGGTCTTTACATTATAAGAAGCAGAATTTAAGAATTAATTAAGAAAAATTAAAATTATTCCTTAATAGGTTATATAAATCTTTGGAACTTGAGATAGGATATTTTAACGTAGAAAACGATTTAAATAATATTTATCTCATTATTTCTACATGAAAAATAACTTCAACGTAATGCTAATTATCGTAATTATTATTATTACAATGATGATTGGCTTTAGTTTTGCAATGGATCGCAAAACAACACGTTTCAGCATTAAATTGCTATTTACAATCTCTCTTCTGTTGACTAGTATTTCATATTTAATAACAATATTTTATAAAACTTAGATTCATCCTTTTCCTATCTAGAATAGTAAAGTTCTCTTAATTATATCTAAAACTGTTCTTTATTCAAGATTGGGGTATTCTACATATAGTAGTGGACATTGTTTATAATTCAAAACATTTAAATTTTTTATATCCAATTGTTGACTTTTATTATACGTGTTTATTTTGTCGTTTAAGAATATTTTATGTGCAATGTGTTCTCATTGGCAAAACCCAAGGCAGCTCAAACTCTGGCTGTGCTACTGATTTAGGCAAACGTTCACTGATCATGTTCACAGGAAAGAGGATCAAACAAACCTGTGGGTAAATCTTCGACAAACATCGATCGTGTATGATCATTTCAAAGTAATTAGCTACATGCCCTATAATATCTAAGTCTAGATCCATCATTGTGACACATGCTTTTATCAAATGTCAGCTTAAACAGCGTCTCTGGATCTATTCTTTGTCTCCCCAGTGGTACAATATTTCCCAGAAGAAGCTACGATACAAATCACACGCATCGATCGCATGATTCGACAATTTTTTTTCAAAATGCTCGTCCCCACGTTTTGTTAATATCCTGATTTAATTGCCAACCGCGTGACAGATTGTTTTCGAATACCGAAGAATACCCTTCGAAGGAGAACGATCGCGTTCCACGTCTTTGAAATTGCAATCAACGTCAAAATCTAACAGGTTATTAGACGTAATTACGAATAGTATAACCACAGAGAAGGTGTAAGATACGACTATTTATGACCGTTTAGTGAAATTTTTTGCTATTTTTAATGTCTCAGGTGATCCAGAGACCCTTTACAATTTTCGTGTCAGTGTCGTACAACGAACGTTATTGATTCTAAATCAAAAAGTATTTTCTGTGTGTAAAACGTGAAGAGCCATTACGAATTTGTCATAATCGTATTTCGAGATATTCAATATAGAAACATTCTTTCGTTTATAAGATTCAGATATTCACGAAAAGCCTATGCAATCAATACTGTATGATCTTCACTTTTAACATAGAATAAAATGCTAGTAAAATAATTGCTATTATCGAGAAGAAAAATTGTCCATTTCATTCATTCAAGCTATCTTAATCATTTCATTGCAATTTAATATTGTTATTATAATTGCAAGGGTGCTATGAAAATTGATAAAAACTTTCTTTTAGCATTTTATGAAGAGATAAGATTTCTTGAAGAATGTCTTCGAAGAAAACAGAGTGTTTTTCAAGAAATGGTAATAAATGACTATATCTAACAATTAAATCAGTGATTTCTATCTCTTTCTGCGACGTTTTTAAAAAGATCTTTCGTTCAGCTAGAATAGAGTCGTCTTAAGAGTTAAATTGTCACGTAGCAAGAATTATCAACTTGGCTAGCGATATTGACGTCTTATTCAAACGTGAATAATAATCACTAATTATAGTTACACCGTGTAGAACAGGTTTATAATGTATAAAATTGTTACTCTCTTGATATTCGATTTCAGAAACCGCAGTCTTGCCTCTGATTAGTTTTTCAACTAATTTCTAAAGTCTTCGATGCTCGAAGTCAATTTTCCAGATTTCGATGCCATTGCAAAAACGTTTGTTGGTTTAAACAGGTTTTCTTTTCTCTTTGACGCAAACATTCCGCTCGTCTCTTGCTGCACGATAAACAAACGTGATCATTGTGTTATCGTAAAAAATTGTTGGTCTCTAACTTTATTTACTTGTTAGATTGAAACAAAAAAATAAATAATTATTGCGTAGCTTTTTGTTTCATCGTATTGCGATATCTAGATCGGTACTGATCCTCGATATTAATATGATATTATCTATCAAATATTATTATATAATAATATAAATAAGGAGCCAAATAAAAGTACAAATTAAAATATGGAAAATTACATTTCTATATTTACCTTACCTATTTATTACTAAATAACAACTGCTGGATCTTTTCTATATCTCTCTTAAAAGAAGCTATAATTTAAATCACATGCGCTAGTTGCGTGATTCGACTCGTTTCCACGTTTTGTAAATATTCTACTTTAATTGCTAACCGTACGACAGACAATTACCGAATACTGACGAATGTTGTTCGACGGAAAATGTCGAACAGGCTATTACAGGTAAATACAAGTAGCATATAACGTAAACACAAAAAAACTTGCAGTTTGTAATTGTAGTTTCAATTCCAGCATTGTTCCACGTCATCGTAAATATTTTATTCGAGGAAATGCGCCCTTTAATAATGGGCGCAGACGTCTCTTGCGCATCCAGTTTATGAATTAATCCAAGATTAATGAAGAATATTGATTAATTTATTAATCATTAATCCTTTAAGGATCGAGGGATGAATCTATGACAAATTAAAAAAATATATTTATTACTCCTTTCATGTGAAATAAACAATTATATTAATATTAATACTATTAGAAAATTATTCATTCAAAGAATACTCTGAAGGCG